TTCTTTGAGAATGGTTCTCATGCAGCCAGCAAGAAGGTATGAAAAATGTAATGGAGTCACTTAACCCTTCAGAAAAATCTGAAAGTTCCTGGTGTCTCCTGCAGTTTAGGCTTGACACGGTATGTACTTGGAGGAATGTGTATTTAGAATGATAATATATCCAAGTGTGCCCATTGCCTCGAATATTTTGCATTTGAAGTGTTCACAAGCAACATCCTTCTGGATTTCCATATTCCCATGTAAAGGGGTCTTAACTCCCTTGATGGCTGTCCCCTCTGGAAGGGTTTTCTGCTTTGATGGTGGAAGTAAATGACTGTTCTGATCATCTGGGCCTGTGACCCACTTCCAAATGGATGAATGGATACACATCAGTGAGCTCTTACGAGGAACAGCAATGCATGCACACTCTTGTGCTTAAAAAAACAGTCTTAAAATATTGCAAATCTGCATTTAATGTGTCCTATGACTACATTGTTTTGAAGGAATGAAATCTCATCTTCTTAGGAACTACCATGTATGGAATTCCCTAAGATTTTTCATGTATCTTAATAGCTGTGATCAGTCAATCCTCAGCCATTATTTAAGATGTGTTCTGTTCAGGAGGAGAGTTGTTCCACATTGAGTCATTATCTTAACCCAGCCAGTAAAGCTACTTCTGGAAGCAAAATTATTTCATTCAGATTGGGGAGAAACAAGTAATTACAGGTTTCCCTTGTTTGGGGACAGCTTCTAGTTGTAGTTTATTTGGAATAAGACTTCAGTTCCACAAGACAGAACTACAATTTATTTATCCCATAGATAGCCTCTTCTTACCCCTGGAACTGCATAGGGAAACATTTATTTTTCCATGAGCCTGGTAATCTAAAAAGCCTGGGTATACTATGCTTAACATATTCTGTGGAATGAAATTAAAGACAGAGGTAATTCCTGAAGTAATTATATATGTAATGAGTTTAGTTCTGACTTCTCTGTCTACAACTAATAGTTCTGGTTTTCCACACCACCTGGTGCTTAATTTGTTTTGAGGGTTCCTCTGTTTGGTTCTTCATGGGAGTCTTGGGTTTTGCCTACATCCTTCTCCCTCCACTGGCAAATTCATGAACTTTTTTTGTATCCTGGATGTAACTTAACATTCCTTGCTTGAAAACAGGCAAGTGTTCTGAACTGATGCCATCTCTCTTACTGTGTCTGAAAGTTGATGGCAATCAACAGTTTAAAGAACCAAGAGCCTCAGGAGGTTTTTTTGGTTGAAGGAGTTGGCTTGATTCTGATTTGAAAAACACTTGAGTGTAGAGTTCCAGGTTTTGCAGTGCATGGGAATAACTGAATACATACCTATGAACACATAGAGTACAAAAGGCTGTTTGAGTGCCTTGCATGCACTTCACGTATGAAACCTCTTGTTGATTTCTTCAGGAGTGGTAAGTAGCTTCTTTTGAATGATGCAACTGAGGGTACATGATGTATGTTGTGGATCTGTCCTCAGCTCCCTGTCATAAGGCAATAATTCTCCCTGCCACCTCCTTCCAGCTCTTGTGTTGTATGGATGCCTTGTGGTCCTTACAAATGTTCAGTATGTCAATATTTGACCAAACAAATAAGTATGTAAGTAGAGTGTCTTTGAATTGACCTGCTGCTCAGTAGCTAATGAATAACACTGATTATGGTTATTTTTGGACAGGAGGGGCACTTTATCTGGTTCTTGATCTGTGCAGGATGTGCAGGAAGGGTTTCTGAGACCTCCACAGTTGTGTCAAATGTGACTGTAAATGATATGTACACAAGCACCTAGTCCCACCTGGTTCTGGTGAATGTTGAGAGTTCAGGCTGAGGGATGTGCTGCTGTTACCACCCTCTTCCCCAGGCAACAGGAGGCAGCCAGCAACCCCTTTATTAGTCTGGTTCCTATTTGCCAGCTGTGTACAAAGGGAATGTAGTAATGGCAGTGCATGGTGCATGACATGGCCCAGGGCTATGGGGAGCCCTGTTTACAAGAAGTGTGAGATGCTGAAGCTGGCAAGAAAATGTAACTATTTTGTGGGAAGTCTCTTCGCTGTCTTGACAGTTGGCAATGAGAGCCGATGTACCTCATAGCTGCTGGCTTAAATCCAGCCTTGTTTGGTTGGTGTTTTGTAAGTGATTGTTATTACATACAAAATGGTCCCAGTGTAGATCACACACATGGGTGACTTGCTGGTTGTTCAGAACAGAGGAGCATTGAGATTAATGCTCGTAGTCATGATATTCCCAGAGCTGCAGGTGGTTTGCATTTTGTTAGGAAGCTTGTTCCTGCCACTTGTGTTGTGGTTGGTCTGAATTTATTACCCAGTCTTTGGTATCTGGGATGATCACTTGAGTATATTTTAAAAGCAAATTTTTCCCATAGCATTTAATATTTACAAGTTGAACTTGTAATTTTCATTCCATTACTCTGAAGTTAATTTAGACAACTCATAGCATTGCATGATTTTCCCCACTGGAGAAAATCCTTTAAAATGCTTCCTGGTTAGTAGTTTCCTGTTGTTGAGAATCCTTTCCCTTGGCTTTGCTCTCACTAGCGTGTCTGTAGATACAGAATAATAAGACTAGTATTTAGAGAATGGAAGTTGGAGGCTGTAGAAATGTCATTGTCCTCTTCTGTAGAGCTGAATAAAGTTCCAAAGCTGTATGCTGCAAGACAAGATCCAAGTCACTCCAACACTATCTTTTTGCTTTGCCCTCTCCCTTAGCCCTTGAGAAATTGCAGTTTATTTTTTGTTTCATTAACCATCTTAACTTTTCTACCAAGTCTCAAAGAAAACATCTTAGTCAGGAAGATGATCTGTACTGCTGGCAAAATGCTGTTTTTTAACACGTAGGGTAACCTTTTATGCAGTGAGGAGTTGTAATAATACAAGAGCTGGATAATTCCCTGTTTGGGAGAATTCCTATAGCTTGTTTGGTAAGAATCTATGTGACATTCTACAGCTTCATTAGGAAGTGTTCCCAGTGATGGGGGCAGAGGAGCTACTAGAGGAATACATGGAGTAGCAAGGCTGTGTGTTAGCCTGCTAGCAAGATGTTTTGTTACCTAGAGATTAGTTTGCAATACTATGTTGATGTAATACGGAGTTATTCATTGCAAATGCTGTTTAGAGAAGATTTTGAGTCAGAGGGCACAGACCCAGCTTGGAACACAAATGAGTTTGAACAGTGAATACTAGGTGAATCTGTAGTTTGGGTGCAAGCTTAGTCAGGGGTGACTTCTAAGCCTCAAGTAGAAACACTGCTACCAGCAGCAGTGAGTCACTGCCACAGGGATGTGGTCACTGTCCTGGTTGCTATGATTGTTTTGATTATGTATGAACACAGGGATTTTAAAAATGTTTCAAAGCACCAAACTTATTAATAACTAAATACCTATCAGACTTTGCCAGTTGTTTTTACCGTGAAATAATAAGGGAAAAATTAGGTGCTTGAGATTTAAAATTTAAAAGGAATGTTTTAGTCTCAAACATTATAATAAGACTTCTATGAAACAAAATTATTTTCAAATTATCTCTGAAAAGGTTTAGATAAACGTTCATGCCAATAATTCTGTAGCAGTTTAATTGAAGATGTACTATGCTTGCTGGGCAAATTGCTGGAATCTGCAATGCCAGTTCCTGAAGGACTGATCTTGTCCTACTTTTCAAACTGAATGTTGAGGCTGTAAGATCCTTCATTACATCACACACAACAACTCCAGTGCAGAAGCAGAATCAGCATCATTAAGCATTATGTATGATGGAGAAGCTTACTGAAGGTTGTTCTAAACCTAATTATTTTCTGCTATGGCTGTATCAACAACCTGTGCTCTTAGTTACTGTCTGCTTCAGGCCTCAAATCAGTGGCCTGAAGTAAGGGAGAAAAAAAATTGTTTGAGCCTGCTCAAGATCTTGGCTCCTTGTAAAAATGTGCTACTGTCATGCTTGTTCTGTCCTGTTCTCTCAGTTTTCTGGGCAGCTGGGGGAACAACTGGCATTTGTCACCATTTACCTTGCTAGACCTACTGTGTTTTCTACCAAATTGGCCATCAGACTTGCATGGCCCATTTTCCAAAAGGTCATTTTCCAGTCTCTGTTGTGTTGTAGGGAGGCTTAAAAAATAAGAGACTAATGTAGGGAAATAAATTCCTATCAGGTTTGTATTTACATACTTGTAATTCCATAAAGTTGCCAATCAGTTCTGATACTGTCAACACAGAGGGAAGAAATCCCTGTGTCCCTATAGTATCTATGTATGGTCACAAGGATGGTGAAGGGTCTGGAGGGGAAGCTGTAGAAGTGGATGAGGTCACTTGGCTTGCTCAGCCTGAAGGAGATGGAGAGATGTCATTGCTGTCGACAGCTTCCTCATGAGGGGAAGCAGGGCGGCAGGCACCCGTGTCTGTGTGGTGACCAGTGACAGGAGGAAACGGCATGATGTGGGCAGGGGATGTTCAGGCTGGATATCAGGAGAAGGTTCTTCACCCGAGGGTGTTTGGGCAGGGGCACAGTTCCCCAGGGCAGGGCTCACACACCAAGCCTGGCAGAGCCAGAAGTGTTTGGACAAGGCTCTCAAGCACATGATGTGTATGACTCTTGGGGCGTCCTGTGCAGGGCCGGGAGCTGAGCTCCGTGATCCCGGTGAGTCTCTTCCAACTCAGCGCAGTTTGTGATTCTATGAACAACAGCTTGATTTACTGCATCCTTAAAGCTTGTTCGTTCACGGATGTCCGTGACTGGACGGAGGCTGCCGCCTCTCCATTTGGTTAGGTGTGATATATAATGATTTTACATCAAAGGAGATCCTGGCTCAAGATCACGTCGACACATTCCACATCTTACAACGCCACGGCGGGTGGAGATAGCACCTAGCCCCGACGGTCACCAAGCGTCGGAAAGGCAATAAAACTCCCCCGTCCTCCCCGCCTTTCCCCGGCCGAGCCCAGCCCGCCTCCCTGAGGGGCGGCGCGGCCGCGCGCGGGGCCCGCCGGGAAGCGGCGCGCGCCGCCATGGCGCTGGCGGAGGAGGCGCTGCGCCGGCAGCTGGGCAAGGTGCGCGCGCTCGCGGCGGGCAGGGCGGGGGGCGCGCGGGCGGCGCTGAGGCGGGAGCGGGGCCGGGATGGCGGCGGCGTGCCGGGGCTGCCTGCCAGCCCGCCCGTCCCGTCCCTTCGCATCCCGCCCCGTGACAGTTTACCCCCGCGCTTCCCACGACTGAAACCTTACTCTTCACTCATCGGAAGTTGACAATTTATTTTCCCCCCCACGGTAGTATTCCCCGCGTTAGCGCCTCCACGCCTTCATGGGCACAGACGCGGTGTTGTAGCATCGCTCTGAGCGTTTTCATTTCCACGTGAGAAACTGAGGGGGGCGTGTTGAAGCTTTGGGCGTGCCAGATAGTTTTGGGTGCGAAATGAGGTGAGGAAGATCTGTGTCTGAGTCATCCCGTAAATCTCTAGAAGAGGACAAACTACTTAATGGGAATGCCTCGTTTTGTATTACGAACAGGAGGAGGCCAGCTTGGGAAAGATGACTTTGGTTTCACAACCAGATATATCAACGCCTCCAAAAAATGTCATAAGTGTAAGTTGTGTAGACATTCGTAATTAGGGAACGTTGGATTCTTTTTTTTTCTGCGTGACTTTGAAGAATCCAGTGATGGGGAGAAGCTGACTGAAAGGTGTTTCTTGTCAGCAGCTCTCTGTTTTCCTGTAGACAGTAGAAAATAACTATGCCGTGCCCGTAGCTGTCACATTGCTGCCAGGGTGACAGACCGAAGAGAAATTCGATTTTACCTACTGTTTTGTGACAGTTATTCCAGGGCAGTGAGCAGCTCTTTAAGCCACTGTCAGGCAGCAGCTTTGTTTGCTTAGGCAAGGGTTCCAAAAAAACAGTACCAGGTTTCCTAAAGGAGAAGCAGAGGCTCTAATCTAGGAAATGAAACATATTCTTTGTAACTTTGGGATGTGGTATGATGCAAATCTCTTGGAAGTTCAGGTATTGGACTGGCTGGGGACGGTCTCAAGCAGCGGTAATTAATTTTCTCAGCTGTCAAGGACAGCTTAAAAATGAAAAAAAATCCTAGAGGCTAATTACTTACACATTTGACACATTTGTGGAAAGTGACATGTTAGTAAACTTCTAAAATGTGTGTGGGTGGACCTGAGTTTAACTGTGTCAGTAAGAAAATAACCTTTTCCTAAGAGGTTCATATTTTTATATTATAATGTGTGTAGAAGAGACTAAATTTTACTAAATTTCTGCTCAGCGCTGTAAAGGAGAAGAAATGGTATATAAGGAGCGATATTCAGAATTTCAACAGCAGACCAGCAATAGCTTCAAAGCTTTTGTAATCGATCCTTTTTGATAATTTATTTCACATCAAAACTGTTTATAATACTGAAAGTAATTATTACCTCCCCCTTCTTGTGTTTCTGCCTTCTACAGTGTCCTTTTCCCTAACTGTCATACAGAAGCATTTGAAGTGAAACTTTTTTCCTTATTTTCTTCTCCCCCTTCCCAGTATAAGTTCAGAGACCTGACCATAGAAGAGCTGAAGGATGTTAGCAAGACCTACCCCAACTTCACATTCTCCATGAACACATACAGTAAGAATTGATGCACTTGCTCTGAACTATTTGTGGGGAATCTTACCTGCCATAAATGCAGACTGTGTATAATAGAATGTGAACACATTTCTATTGTGTTCCTGTCTTTATGTTGACTTGCAGTAAAATTTCTCATGCCATGTGACTATTCCTGAGTGCTTTTCCAAGGATGCGTACATATAAAAACCTTAGCAACTCATTTACTTCATCTTACTTCAACTTGTCAGTAATTATAGGAGACTGATTCTTTAAATTCTTTATATTGCCCCCACATTTCATTATTATTTTGATGGCTTTAGCTTGTAGAGTGTGACTTCCAGAATCCATCAGCCTGACTGGAAATTCCCACAACATCAGAATTACCCAGGACAAAAGGTTTTCAGACTAATGATGTGCTTAGTTGTACCAGTGCAATTTCTAGTAAAATGTCATTAAGAAAATATTTTAAAAGGTAGGGGGGACCTCAGTAATAGTCTAGTATTGGTTCTTTCAGGAGCAGTGTATTTTATTTCTAAAGAAAAATTTATGTTGGATATTTGTAGTTGTGGGCAGGATTGCTGTGCCAGGTTTGAAAGGAGTTTTTTGGGGTTTTTTTTGGTTTTTTTCTAATTGCATTTTTAATTTCAGCCTTCAAGGATGGATCCCAGAAGGACCTCCTGAATTTTAGTGGCACTGTTCCAGTGAAATATGGTAAGATAAATCAAATGTCATTTTCTTGCCAGTTATTAATCTAAATGTAGAATGTGTTGGGTACTGCCTCTTTAAGGGTTCACTGTGCAGTGTCTTCAAAGGTGACTAGAAAATATTTTGTTTCAATTGGCAGAAGTCACTCCTACTGCACAAACGAGTGCACAGATGCTGAAATAAGGTGCTAATAATTAAATAAGTAAATCAACTATTTAAAAAATAGTGTTGTGTGAGACCATGTTGGCAAGCTCTTTGATGCTAATGGAGCTTGTGTGAACTCTGTATACACTTGTATAGTCAGTGTCCAAAAATAACTTGTAGGCAATTTTTTATTTTCAACTTAAAGCCTTTGAAGTCTAATGCAAGGCTCTTTATAGATGCTTTTTTGCACTAGGTGTTAAGTCATAAAATAAGTATGACATATATATATATATATATGAAACCTTTCTTTGCTGGGAAAAGGGGACATGTTGGCTGAGAGAAGACCCTGGGAAGCAAAACAGCAATAGATCTTTATATTAAGAAAGGTAAGAAAGGCACAATCAGTAGCACTTCAAGTTGATCTGGTTTTATTCATTAGCCTAAGTAATATAAATATTTTCCAGTGTGAATCTGGAAGTGCTCTGTCAGGCTTTTTTCCTTTGTTATTACAAAGTGTGAATCACATCACCCACAGCTGGTCTTTAGTGCCTCTTCTCAGTGCAGAAGTTACTAATGGCTTTTGTTTTAACAGGTAATTCCTATAACATACCTATTCGTCTCTGGATCCTGGATTCTCATCCCTTTGCTCCCCCCATTTGCTTCCTGAAGCCAACTGCAAACATGGGCATTGCAGTGGGGAAACACGTCGATGCACGGGGCAGGATTTATCTGCCCTACCTGCAAAACTGGAGCCATGTAAGAGGTGGGGTGGATGACAGGGGAGGGAAGCATTTGGGAATACTGCAGGGTATCATGTGGAGCTTTCAGGCAGTCTGAGGCTTGTAAAGGCACTTGGGAGTAATTCTAATGAAAAAGGGGACTGAGTCTTTACAAAGCAATGTAAGCCTCATGATTCTTTGTTGCTGTCCCAGTTGAATACCCCTCAGGAAAGTTCAGTGGAAGTTTCTGCCTTTTGGGTATGCCTCTTTTGGCAGACCTCTGAAACAGCACAGAGATTCAGAAGTCATTGCTGTTGATGACTGATTTTATGCACTGTATTAAATTACTCACTTAAGTATGACTGCTAGGCCAGTAAAGATTATTTAATGAATGCCAGCTTTTTGAAATGAATGAGCTGTATTTTACATTATTGATACAGAAATTCCTAAGGGAACTTCTGCTGACTTCACAGTGTGTTTTGCCCGGAGGAGGACTGAAATGCCAGAACTCTGGACAGTTGAGCTCATCTAAGACTGAACTACTCTTTAGCTAGGATTTGTCCCCTTTACAGTACTGGCTGTGGCTATATCAAAGGCTTCCATATATTCATGGATGCCTTCATGGTAATTTCAATTTTAGAACTCCTTTTGTTAAATTCCTTTTAATTCACACTCCTGTTTGGAAAGTATCTTCTTGAAGTGATGCTTTTCTCTCCCTTAGGTGTTTGTGTAAATGTTAAGAGTGTCAGTATTTATAATTTGATTGAATTTTGTTTGGCTCTGGCAGTTCACAGCTGATACCACTATATGAAACAGCTGTTCAGGTGTTTTGTCTTCTGTTTGTCTGATGTATTTCAGCCTAAATCAACTCTCATTGGATTAATCAAGGAAATGATTGCAAAGTTTGAAGAAGAGCTCCCTTTATACTCACTGTCATCATCTGATGCAGCTAGGCAATCAGAACTTCTCTCCTATATTGCAAAGATTACTGAAGGTGGGGATGTTTTCATGGGCATGTTTTTAGTATTCTTATAAAATATATTCACTTATTGTCATTACTTGATGTCACAAAGAAACCTACATGATTTATATTTTACAAATTTTATGGCCATGGTCTGTATGCACACCTGTAACAGCAGCACAGGGAGTGCTGTTTTTGTGGTGTTAGTGTTTAGATTCTTGCTACTGTTATGCTTGTGTATTTCTACTTAGTGAAGAAAACATTTCTGTCTAGAGAGGAATATTTGTTTTACACCTTGCAAGTTGTGAAGGATTTTCTGTGGTCAGTCTTGACTACTGTTTTGAAAAAGTCCATGTACCTTGATTTAACTCTGACACAACCATGATCCTTTATGAAGCAGCAATACTTGTATTGATACAGTGTGGACCAGCACCCGAGTTTGTGGTTTTCTTTTAATTGCAGGGGAGACTGACATGAAATCCAGGAGTAAAACTGGAGGCAGAAATGAAGGGTGTTTTAACAAAATTACTGTTGTTGGAGCTGGAGATCTTGGCATTGCATGTGTACTAGCAGTTGCAGCAAAGGTACATAATTATTAAAAATAACAAGAGATCTGATTCCATTCTAGTTCTTAATATCTGACACTAAGGAATACCTCATCAGTTTTAACAACTTTCACTGCATAGGTCATTTGTCCCTTCAGTTAATTTAAGGACACATAAAGGTGTTAGTATTTTGCCCTGGTTTCTCAGTCAGTTTTTTTAATTCAAAGGGTTGAGTATTGAATTCACTTCCTTTGAAAATCCCGAAAGGATTCTTGTCTCAGCAGTAGCCTCTTACAACTGGGATCTCCCATTTCCCTGGAAAAGGATAGTCTGTAGCTGGGCTGTACTTCATCACATCTGTATGTTAGATACAACAGTAACAATATTTTTTAGCAATAGTAACAGTGATTTTTGACCTCCCAGAGATAGTTTATGAAGTCTAACTGGAAAAAACACAAAACAAAACAAGAAAAAAAATTACAAAACTAAGTCCTTTTCCTTGTGATTTGGCAGTAATTTTGACCAGTAATTTTGTTGGATTTGTACACAGTACAGCAAACAATGAAATGGGAGGAATTTTGGTTTTTATTCCTCATTCCCACACAAACAAATTTTGTTTTAGTTTATCTGTATTCTGATCTGTATTATTTTTATTCATGCAGGATATTGCAGACAAGGTGGTTCTTTTGGATCTTTCTGAAGGTGCAGCAAAAGGAGGGACCATGGATTTGGAGATTTTTGCTGTGCCAAATGTGGAGATCAGCAAAGGTATGAGATGTTATTTCTGGAGCAGGAGTGGGTGCTGTACTGTGTGTGCTTGTGCTCATTTTAACAAGAGCAGGACACCTGGGGAGATACAGTGGCACATAGGCTGTCCTTTTTTACAAGTTTGTACCTGCAGGTAAGAGGCTAATGCTGAAATTGGACTCATGCAGAAATATAGAGAAGCCAAGCTAGAACTTTTGTGTCATGGGCAGAGAGAGGGAAGGGGGAAAAATATTTGCATAGGAAATAGGGAAGGCTGTGAAAGCGGTGTTCAAAAGGCTGACAAATAAAGGTGCATTTCAAAGTGCTGCTTTTGTAGCTTGATGTTCATTAAACATGCACATGGCCAATAGCGAGTCCTTGATCTCTATCACTGCATATTCAAACAATGAGTTCTTAATATCCTTTTCTTCAGTCAGCTGTGAGCATACAAATAACAGAGTCAATGCTATGTCTCTGTAATTAGTGATTAGTTACAGCCTTTGATGATCTTTGATAGTTGCAGAGGTTGAGACCATGCAGCTCAGAAATTTTTCCACAGAGAAAGCTGGAACTGAATTGAGTAACGTTTTTCTTTGCCTATGTGTCATGTTTACATGTTCCTTGCACCCTTTGCAAGATAAAATGAGGGATTTTCTTGTGCTCCTCTTTTAATTTATCTTATTTTGGGGACAGGGACTTGTTCTGGTTCCACCAGGCATCTTTGTGGCTTATTCTGCACCTGGCATTGCCTGCTGTACATTCTTTGATCTTATCTTGCAGGTTTTACTTGTAGCACACCTTTTTTCTGAACACTGATTGTGCAGCTGTACCACAAATCTGTTTGTGCCTCTGTGGCTGCCTGTTGCATGTTTGCATTTAGCTGTGGCATAAGAAGCTTGGTAGTGTTACAATGCTACAAAATGCTTTTATACTGTCACCTGCTATTTTAGTATGTTTAGATCTAGGTTTGGGGCAAGTTGGTATTAATTATATCCTGCTTTGTATGGTTTTAATTTTTCAGTGCATTACACCCCTGCTTTGGCTTAAGTTGGTTCCAAAAGTGGTGCAACAGACAAATCACCTTATTTCCAGGTTATCAACTGTGTGGCACTCAGATATTCAGAGATACCTGCTCAAGGCAGCTTTGATTTATAAATTCCTGCAGCAAGCATGGTTGTGTGTTTCTTTGGGCTAATAAGTACAATTTTTCTTTTATTTGAGTTAACAAATAGACTTTTGGAGTGCTTTTCATAGTTCTCTACATGCCATTGATTAAGGCATAAGATCAAAAAGTCTAGAAGAACCCTCAGATAAAGGAGTAAAACTTTTCCCCTTCTTTAACACTTGGAATAAAAGTTTAGGAGCCTTTTCATGGATTTCTTTTTTCTTTCTTGCCAAGAAAACTTGGAAAAGTTTATCTGTCAAAGCTGTCTAGATATTTTCTTGTCTTTGCTCTGTAACCTTGGACAAATTGTAGTCTACCTTTTGTGTTTGACACCTATAAAACAGGAAAGTAGTTCTGTAGGAGAGCTGTGTTTTATAGGTGCTGTGGAAGTGCCCTAAATTCCACTGGAGGCAAAGAATCCCTAATTAGGCCGGATGCTGCAGTTCAGTCTTTAGAACAGCTCTTGGTTTTGCATCCAAAACTCAGTAGAATGACATAAGTTTCAAAATTTATTTTCTTTATATTTTCAGATTTTTCTGCTTCAGCTGATTCCAAAGTTGTGGTGCTTACAGTTAATTCTCTGGGTAATGCTCAGACTTACCTTGATGTCATACAAAGCAATGTGGATTTGTTCAGAGGAATTATTCCAGCAGTATCCCACTACAGTCAGAATGCTGTTCTTCTTGTTGCTTCTCATCCAGGTATGCTGGTACTTTGCATAAGGTTCTGTCCCTCACCTGGCTTTTTCTCTGGCCTGTTCTAAAAACATGTTACTGCTGAATACACCTCGTTAGTCAAAAATTCTTGCTGCTCTGAAAAATGTTTTCCTTTTCAGCTTTGAGCAGGACACTGTCTTTGAGGGTTTTTTCTTTACTGTTACCAAGATAAAAGAAAATATTGTACTTTGTTTTGTGTAACAGGTATGTATTTCTGTGTTTCTGTGCATAGTTTCAACCTGACTCTGTCTACATCATTAGCAACCATTGGCTGTTGTGTTGTCAGTTGTGAGTTTTATGTGCACATTTCTTATTGCAGCAAGGATAGATCTATGTAGGTTATGTTCCATATCATCACACATGCTACTCAGATACCAAGTATAGCATTAATAGTAAATATTTTAGCTAGATTTTTGTGGAAGGTTTAAATTTCCAGGTCAGTGGTACTGTGGACTAAGACAAAGCAAATCACTATTTAGGAAAGGGAAAGAAGTGTCAGCCTCTATCCTGTAATGCATCAAAGACAGCTCTTCCTACTACCTTACCATTATTGTTCTTATTTTTTCACTTCTTCCCCACCTGACTTTGTGTTTTAGGTTGAAATAAACTACCAATATATTCTTACATGCTCATGCCTTTTCTAAAGTAGAGAAATCCAGAGTTTTTTGTAATGATTCAAAAGTTGCAGTTGAGTTGAACTTTGAGTGGTCCTTCATTGACAATATGTTTTTTCTCTGACATTTAGTTGAAGTAATGACATTTGTGTCATGGAAGCTGAGCTCCTTTCCCAAAAGCAGAGTGATTGGGGTTGGTGCCAACCTTGATTCAGAGAGATTTCGGTACATTCTGACCAATCTTTTGAAAGAAGAGGTGCTGGCAAAAGATGCCTGGGTTATTGGTGAACAAGGGGAAGACAAAGGTAAAGTGATACTTTTTTATGACCATGAGCATGTAATGTCTTGGCAGTGCCTAAGTAACTGAATAATGAAAGAATAATTGAGAAAAGTAATCAAGATAATGAGGAGAGTAATAAGAAGAGTAGTAAATTCTCATAGTAATGGCTTTAAGTAATGGAGTTGTGGGGTACCAAATCTGTGGAGTAGTAGCAAAAGTATTTGCCATTTGTCACAGGAAGAAAAAAAAACCAAACAAACCACAACCTCAAATGCTTTTTGGTTTTTTTGGTTGTTTCTATTTAGTGCCATCATGGACCAGCTGTAATGTAGCTGCAAATCAAACAGAAGCAATGGCTGCTCATAACTCAAGGGAAAAGGTGGCTAACAGGTAGCACCATTATAAACTTTTTTTTCTTTCATGTTCAGGCACTTGGTGTTTATATGTTCTATAGCTTTTTATGAAGTGGGGGAAGCTTGCTCCAAAATGTTCATACATTGAGTTTATAGGAAATTGTATGTCAGGTTGTCATTCACTTTTATGGATGTGTATATGGCCACTGTTTTTCTTACTACCATTGTGCCTGTGGCAATGTAAGGAGACACCACAATATACAGCAGAATATCTGAGCTGTTTGATTGTGTGTTTAAAACAAATACTAGACAAGCTTTCTGGCCCACTTTCCTCAGAGCTTGTGTTGGAAGCATTTGCTTCAAAGTCAAGCACCAGTTTGGATTAATTTAATTATCCAAACTGATTTAATTATCAGTTACACCTCTTGACAGAAAAGATAATTGTTACGAGTGTAGAGAAAAAATATTGTAAAGAAATTATTTTCAGCAATTCTATATTCCATTGTGTTGTTTTCCAAAACAGAGAAGCAGCTTTTTATAGTACGCTTTACCTGGTACACTTAAACCTGTATTTTGGGTTTTACATAAAAACCAAAATAAAAATAATTACAATCTCAACATCACATTTTTCTCCTTTTCCTGGTTTATGTGCAGAGTGATGGAAGTCCTAAAGGGAAAAGGTCAGAGATCTTGGTCTGTTGGGCTCTCAGTTGCTGATTTGGCTGACAGCATTCTGAAAGATAAAAGAAAGGTTCATTCTGTATCCACTCTGGCAAAGGTAAATGTGTTATTAATACTTTTGGTTGGCATTGTAATTATATTATTTATTACAGACATGACCGTTAATTTTAGCAGCACAGACATCAGTGTTCTGAGGTTACTACTTTCTACTGCCATTACTTTCTTCCAACAACAGCTCTCAATTCTAGTCCAAAAATTAGCAAAAATCAGTTACTGTCTTAACCTGATACCGTTACTAAAAGTGGATTATTCTCCTAAAAATACAAGTCCATATTCCAGCACTCCTGGAATAGCTGGACTTGGCAAATGAAATGTGACTTGTAGTTCCAGAGTGTTCAGTACTAAATGTAGATTTTTTTTTAATAGGAAAAGAATTTTGTATCTTTTTTGAAAGTATTAAATGCATTTTCTGCCAGTATTTTATTTGATTAAGTTTGATACAGCTGGCTTTTTACCCCTTGTGCTTTCCTTAAAAGGAGAATATTATGAAGCAACATTTAACTTCAAATTGTAGACTGAATTTTGTTTGAATTTTCTCCTAAGAAGCTTCACTAAAGCATTAGGTCATTCCATATGATGAAAAAGCCTATGAAGAAACATTTAATTGTCACTTCAATTCAGAGCCTGCAGAAGGAAAATTTGCATGTTTCTGTGCAGGGAAGTTGAGCTGGCTGCTTACATACCTAATTAAATCATTATGTTTCAAGTGAAGTTTTTAATAATTCCTGAACTAAATATAGATACAGAAGAATCACAAATCTCTTAAAATAAAATTTCCCAGATTACAAAAATATAAAATTTCCCAGATTACAAAATTAAACACATTCTATAGTGTAAACTTGAATTATAGGGATATAAGTTTGATAAATTCTTTTGCAGAATCCGTATGGGATCAATACTTGAGAAATTTTCCACAGTTCTTAGGTTGCATTATTTAATTTATTATGTTGAGTCCTAAAAGAACTAATGATACTGTACAACGAAGTGTCCCTGCTTGTTCTACCCATGAAATGGTGTTTAGTGGTATAGATTTTGTCTGTGTTATAGAGATTTATCTATCTATTTGGAAAAATTCCCCAATTGTGGCATGGTTCACAAATTTCTATCTGCACAGTAATATGTTACAGTTTCTATACAGTAACCCACTGCACAGTATCTAAAATAAATGGAAGTTGACCTATCCAAACACAGCATATGTTGGAATATCCTTGCTTAATTAAAATAATCAAGTAGTTTTGTGTAGTTGTATGTTTTTGTGTAGATGCAGCAGAAATAAGTAACTGTGTGTGTGACAGTGTTCTTTGTGTGTTCTTTCAGGGGTGTTGCAATATAAACAGTGAAGTATTCTTAAGTCTCCCATGTATTCTTGGAACCAGTGGAGTGATTGAATTGGTCAGACTGGAGGAAGACCCACTGGTGCAAGAGAAACTGCAAAGCAGTGCAGGCTCAATTCATGACCTTCAGCAGCAGCTGAAACTGTAAGGAAGCTCAAGGGAAGCCTCTGTGTCTACTCACTGAAGTTGGAGATCTGCAAGGCAGAAAAGGCTGCTTCATATATATGGATTCCTGTGGAAAACAGGAAGCTTTGTTACTTTACTTTCTAAAAGTGCTTTCTCAGTTTAGGTTTGAATTATTTAATACCACGCTGTACAGCAATTTTTTTCCTTTGTAAAGTGCACTTTTGATAGCCAAAATGAGGCAGGTAACACACAAGAATATTTTACCTAAATTCAGGTGGCACTTGCCTGTGGTTTTTGGCTGCCAGTTAGTTATAGCCTGACTCTTAGGTTACTCTTATTTCTTTGCACATCTCTAGGAGGCAGTCCTAGAGAGGGGCTTACCCAGCTCTGCAGAAACTCCAGCATGCAGAGCCCCCTTGAACCCTTCCTACAGCTTTTAAATGCTGTATCTGAGGCTTGTTTTGGGTACAGTCACACTCCAGCTCTACAGGCACTGGGGATGCAATTCCATAGCTTCATCTTCCATGGCTGTCAATGCTCTTATGTCAAGTATTTTGCTATTTACTAAGGGGAGCGTGGTGTTCACAGTATCCTTCAAACCTGAACTATTGGCTATGGATTTCTGTTCACACTTTATCATGTCTGAAAGACTTCCGTCATGACTTGTTTGCTTTTATTTTATGAGGATATTCAGAGCACTAAAGCACCTGCAGTTCTCACTACATACATGCAGCACTGGAACAGGGGGCTCTTCCTGAATGGGAGGAGCAGGAGCTGGGCTTCAAATAAAAATGAAAGATAAAATCCAGCAGTTAAACAGTGCAGATGTATCTGCACATTCAGACCTTGATCCAAAGCTGCCTGGGGGCTTTACATCAGCCTCAGGAGAAGGCAACAGAACCTGTAACCCTCCTCCCTGGAGGCCAAGGATGTGATGAAAAACCAGGCTGTGGATTTGTAGGTAAAAACCAGATGGTTTTGAGATCAAAGGGTGTTTTGGATTCCAACCCCTTGATTTACCACCAGTAAAAGACTATTACTCCTGATTACACCTCACCATCACGTGGCAGGCACAGGGGACTTGGGCTCTACTACTGCTGTGTGTGGCTTAGGAATGTCATTCCACATTTACACTTTGAGGGGTGGCTGGTTGGAAATTTTGCAAATGTTGTTGGAAATTTTCCAAATATTGTTGGTAATTTGTTCTGAGCAAAAGTAGGATCTGTGACAGAGCAAAAGATCTGATCCTTTGTGCCTTTCAGTTCCATCTCACAAGGAGCCAGACAGTTCCTAGTGCTGCAGACACTCAGCAGAACTCCCTGTCTGCAGGGATTTCTGAGTGCATGCTGATCTCAGAACTGGATTAAACACAGAAAGAAAAAACCTTCAGTAATTCAAACCTTTATTTTTTTTCAAATACCCAGATGTCTTTTACTGTAGTGGTAAATGATGGGGCAAAACTAGTGATGGCTTTAGGTAACTAACTTTGCTGCTATACTTTTAAGAAGCTACACTTTGGGATTTGGTGGTTTTTTTTCATTTAATTTGGAAAAAAAACCAAACAAACTATGAATTTAAGGTTTTACATTATTTTTCATGGTGGCGTTTCTCATCTGTTGAGCATTTCTTTTCATGCGAATAATCAAACTGTTGTTTCTTTAGTTTGGCGTTCGTGTAATATTTTAATCCTAAAATGCTGCCAGCTCTTAGAGGCGCGCTTTGTGCGTTAACCCGGTGCTGCGTTCGTGCCGTACGCCGCGGTAAGAGCCAGAGCCGCGCTCGGCGGCGCTCGGTGCCCGCCCCGTGACGCGGCGGCGGCGCCGGCGGCGGAAGCGGGCGCGGGGCCGCTTCCTGTGTTTATGTAGGGCCGGGCCGGCGGCGCCGCGAGCACCGGGAGCAGCGGGGCGCCGACAGCGGCAGCGAGCGGCGGCCGCCATGGCCGTGTCCGAGAGCCAGCTCAAGAAGATGCTCACCAAGGTACGGGCTCGGCCGGCGGGGCCCGGCTCCGGGGAGTCGTGTCGGGAAGGAGGAACGGCGCGGCGAGCCCAAAATGGTCGTGCCCAGCTGCGGGGCTGGGCTGGGGCAGTGCCAGGCACCGGAGGGGCACGCTGCACTTGAGCTCCCGATACGGCAGAGCTCAGCATCGCTGCCCGCGGGGGGTGGGTTTGGTTATCGCCTTGTGTGAGGAAACGGGAAATTCTCATGGAAGGCGAATCATTAACCACTGAATCATGCGCTGCCACTCCTCACTGAAAACTGGGCTTTGTCCAGCAGCTTGGAGCGAAAACCCCTAATGCTGCCACTGAGGGGGAGTTACGGGTTTGCTGGGGGGGTTTTGGAATTTTTTTTTGGCAGCATTTAATCGCACATGTAGCGTTTTGAAATGCAGTGCAGTAGTTGAGACTCTGATCAAAGCCAAAGGCACATTCACCTGCATGGAGTCATAAGCAGAATTTTTTATCAGCCTGAAAATGCGTGTTGAATACCCATGCACTGTCAGTAAATGAGATCATGTATGTATTTCTATACACCTGTCTTTGCTAAATTAATGACTGCAATGCCATAGAAGAAATAGAATTTAAGGTAGTTCAATGTCCTTGTCCCCCAGACTTGTTCATTTTATACTCCATCTGGCTTTCTGTAGGTGATGAAAAATGAAGATGCTATTTCATTATGTTTTTCAAAAATAGTTACACTTTCTGTTCTAGAGAGGGAAGTTTAGTGATATTTCACATATTGAGTAGTTCAGTGAATGAGATAACAAAAGCTTGATCCTTGTTTGGGGGAACTTAAGCACTTAATTTGACTTCAGGTGTTTACCTGCTGTCAGATCTTGAAAAGCTTCATCTTTTTGTGATCTGTTTCCTGGTATGTAAAAGGAGGGGAATGTATTTGCAGTCCGAGAATGGAGGAGGAAAAAGGAGTCTAGAAATTAAGCGTTCAAATTAATCAGTTTTAGTTGCCTTTGTAGAAATCACTAGGATCTTATATTTTCCAAAGAGATTTTGACATTTTTTGGAAATCAATCTAAGTACAGAAATTTACAGCTGAAATTAGCATTTAATTTTTCTTGTGGCAGTAGCTGGAATCACACAACTGTCTCTCTACTAAGTAATCATCACTCAGGGTAAAAACAGTTTGTAAGAATATTATCTTTCTTTGTTTTAAGAGGGATGTGATGATGCTTGCTTGATGTTCAGGTGGTGTGCCTAATTTTTGGAAGTGCCCCCAGTAACCAAATTTGTGGTTCATCAGCCCCATCATGTACTAGATTCACAGAGTGTCTGCTGAGCAGGCAGGCGTTGTTTTATCAGTTCTGGACTCAACTGACTTGAGATTCTTGTGGCAAAAGTGGAAGTAAAGCCTGACTCTGCTTGCCTCTTTACTGTGAGGGTGGTGAGGCCCTGGCACAGGCTGCCCAGAGAAGCTGTGGGTGCCCCATCCCTGGCAGTGTTCAAGGCCAGGCTGGATGGGGCTCTGAGCAGCCTGGGATAGTGGGAGGTGTCCCTGCCTTGGGCTTGGAACAAGATGATCTTTGAGGTTGCTTCCAACCCAAACCATTCTGTGGTCCTTGTGCCTTTTTGGAGCTTCTGTTAGCAGAATCCTGCTCTCTTTTTAATAGTGAGTATGGTGATCTTGTTGAGGCTCTATCCTGGACCATAAGGCTTGTTCCTATGAGAAGGCCCTGCCTTTTAAAAGTAGCTGATGATCAGTTATCATTTGTCCTGTAGTGACACATGCAGTGGTGTGGGTATGTGCTGCCAGTCTGGCTGGTGTACATGAAAATTCCTCCATGTCCCCTCAATGGCTGTTCCTGCTTCTGCCATGTATTGGGGAGGGAGGGAGGGAGGGAGGGAGGAATGTATTCAAATGCTAACAAAGTTGTCTCTCTGTCAAGCCCTGCTGCACACTCCCAATCCTTCACCAATTTTACAAAGGAGGCTGAGATGCTTTGCTGCAACCCTTCCACCAAAACAGCATCCAGGGGCTGATTGTCCTCTGTGCTGGTGCTTCCCTGTGCACACAGGAATCCCCGCAGGAGGGGTTGCTTTCTGTCCCACAGACCAGCATTTTGCAGACAGACCATGTGGCTCTTTTGTCCATGGTCATTTGAGGAAGAGCAGTCACAGCATCACCTGAGGTGCTGGTGCTTCCTCTAGGCTGAGGTGGCACTGTTGGGAAGTGGCATGGTGGGTTCATCTCTGCTCAGCAAATCCAAGTTGTCGTGCCCAGGAGGAACATCCTTGTCAGTCTCTGGAGGTGACGGGAAGAAAAGTTAATTTCTAAGTTTCACAACTCATGAGTGTTTGTCAGGGCCAAGGTGACCTTTAGCTGTGGCACCACAGTTTGCTCTTGGATCATGTCTGAATTTGTTCAGATGTTGTTAATATTTGCATGCTTTGGATGTCAGACATTTCATTGTGCTGGGCCCTTTGTCTTCCTACCATGGGTCAATGAAATGTTGCTGGCTGTATTCCTTATGACATCTGAAGATTGCAGGTTTTTTTTATTGTATTAGAATGAAAAAAAAGTCAATGGACCACATTGCTGGCTTTTCTTTTTAATAGTAATTATCAGGAGAAATGATAACAAGACTAAAGGGCTGCACTGTGTGGTGAACCAACTCTGTTGCCCAGGAGCCTCTTTGCTGTCTCTGGGTTATGGCTCTGAGACTGGTGAATTCTGTAGTGTATCTGTGGTTTACAGGGCACCTGTGCTGTTACTCCCTGCTCCCTGATAAAAGGACAGGGGTAAAACCAGTATTACTGTGGGTAATATTGTGCCTTGATATGTCTGCTTTCTAGCTGACAAAATACACATAAATGCTAATCAATGCTTGATAAATATGGTGTTGCTTGAAAAGTGCTATGAAATAGATCTGTGTAGTTCATATCCTAGATAGCTGTTTATCAGGAATGTTCAAAACATCACTTTTTTTTTTTTAAGATTAATTCATGTTTCTCAGATACACTTGGTGGTGTTAGAACAGGAAAGAAAATGCAATAGCTGTTTCCCAAATCAATTCTGCTTACACCCTTGTTAAGACTTAACGTCTTATTGAAGTTCAATAAGTTATATAGGCAGTGGTTGCTTAAGTAATATGGACAAAAATTATTATTCCAAACTAAGAGTGGAGACGAATGTCCATGTATAGATGTACGCTCTCATATATGCTGTCTATTGTGTAAAATAAAAAATTGAATTAAATTATACTAAAAATTTAGCCTCTAAAGTAATTTCTTTCTCTTTTGTTTTCCAGTATAAGTATAGAGACCTAACCATACAGGAGACAACCAGTGTTATTACTCAGTACAAGGACCTCAAACCTGTCATGGATTCATATGGTTAGTTTGTGCATGAGAAAATTTTTATTGGTGAATTGTTGATGTGTTAGATGTCTTTGGTAGTTTTTGTGGGGGGAGAAAGAAGATTAACACTAGAAAACATAACTTGAGTTTCTCTTTTTTGTCTCTGACATCAACACTTCTTTAGAAACACAGACTCGGTAACATAGTAAGGTTACTTTAGAAAATAGCTATCTAATGTGGCAAGAAGTGTCACGTTTTTCACAGCTTAACTTCTTGTTAATCACTCACTGATGTCATCAGTTGGTGTCCTGAGATTGCTGGTATCTTACAAATTCAGCTTTGCAGCCATATAAAGACGTTTTTAAAATTCGGTGTAGGAAGAACTGTAAATCAATGAAGAAATGCTTCATTTAAAATCATTGTGATAGCCCTTAAGAGTAGGAATAAAACTGAGACAAGTATACAGAAAATTGGCATGAGGGTTTTGTGATGTAAATTATCT